TTATTATTATTATTAGCGCCTCTAGTGTTTGGGCATGGAACTGCATCTGCCGTCATTGCTCCCAGGAAAAGGACAGATGATTGACAGGACAGGGGCACTTCAGGGGGCCAATCAGATTTCAGCTGGGGCCAATGCTCCTGTGGCCCCGCCCCTAGAACCGCCCCTGTTTCCAACACAAGTTGTAAAGCAGGGCTAGTCACCTAAATCGCTCAGGGGGCCACAGTTACTCAACAGCTTGGAGGCCAGACATTGAAGGGATGTTGCCCAATAATGGTGGAGTTTGATCTTGTAATTTTTTTTAAAGTTACCATTGATTTAAAATATGTTGAATAATAAAAATGCATTAGTTTTATATAGTGCTTTTCGAAACCCTCAAAGATGCTTTTAAATTTTATGCATCATTCACAGACTGAGTATGGTAAGCTACAATGTAGCCACAGCTGCTCTAACCACTCCACCACAGCTGCACCAATAGGTGGRCCGGAYGGAAGTCACCTGCAGGCCAGACATGGCCCGTAGGCYGCCAGTTGAGCGAAGTACTCTTGCTTTAATAGTAACAGTTTTGAAGTAAACTAGAAAGTTGTCCATACTGTGTCAATACTCTCTGGCAGTTCTTCATCAGCAGGTTGTTGGAGGAGGACTGGAACAGAGACRCGCTTCAACGCCATGGATACAAGGCGGCTCATCACAAACTACAAGAAAATGGAGCAAGAAACCAAAATCAGCCCGCAGAATTTATCAGCTGGTAAACAAAAAGTACTCTTGTCTGGAGCTTAATAAACGCCACGTAAAAGCTTAGCAGCTGGTTTCTGTCTTTACCGAATGAAGCTCTTCAGGTGAGTTGTTTCCATCGAGCTCTAACAGGTAGAGAGGGTTGTGCTCTGTCATGTAGGCCTGTAAAAATATCATTTGTTCAAAGCTCATTAATATTATCACCTCTGATTATGTCATGGTGTTAATATTCAGTGGTGGGATTCTGATAAATGTGTGATCAAACAGCTTTTAACTTAATTCATTATTCAAATTTTAGCTTTTTTTTAAATATGCCCACAATCTTCACATTAATAAAGGTGTCTTGCCTCCAGTGGTCTCAGCAGGGTCTCTTTGTACATGTTGATTCTGATAGAGGAGTTTCTGGGCAGATTTTCTGGTGTCCACATCGTGAAGTCAGTAATATGTATTTTATGCTTCTTCTCGGCCTTAAAAACAAACAAAACAAAGAATTGACAGATTGCTTGGCAGTGTTCTAATTTAAAATGTAAAAATTTACAGTGTAACTTGTAAAAACTTGTACTTAATCAACAYTCAGAGGCATGAGGATGGTGAAACTTTCATTTTCATTCACTTACATTGAACTTACATGTGATTTGAAATAAGCTAGTGGTGTTTTTATTTGTTGGCATTTGCATTGTATTGGTTTAATATAATTCACATATTTTCAATAGCAAAGAAAATGTTGCAACATYTAATTGAATGCTCCAGAAAATCTAAAGTAATACACGGAAAACTGTTTTATTTTGTCTGTTATAAATATGAAACCAATAATTAAATCATAATAATATGTTGCATATCAAATATTAGAAAAAGTCAAAGTAAATTACATTTTATAAAAAAATATATACATATATAAACGTATAAAGTGCTTGAATAGAAAATTAAGACCATATTTGTCAGAGCAGTGCAGGAAAAAACAGTACAGGAAAAAATTGATTTAAAAAAGCAGGAAAATTTTTAGGTATTTTATTAATTTGTAAAATTTTTCAGTACCTGCTCCTCCTCCTCCTCCTCCTCCTCTTTCACCTCCTGGTCCATCTTCTCCTTGCTGAACATTTCTTCAAGTTTCCACTCCTCCTCGCTGTGCTGCTGCCCCGTGACTGGGTGCTGCCTCAGACCTGACAGCCTCTGGACCAGGTCCTGGTCTGGACACTGGTGAGGGAAAGGGACAGTTCAGCTTAAAAATAAATGATTTATTCACTGAGAAATGTTTGCTGCTATTGAAATCATAAAAAAACAAAATAAAATAAAAGCATATTGCTTACTTAAAACAACAAACAACAACAACAAGTGTTTATTATTAGAATATGAGAAAAACCTTGATATTAATGATGAAATCCGGTGATAGTTTCAGGTTTTTGATCAGTTCAATCTGGTCAGAGATCTTCAGGTACTCCTCTGACATGAATGGCAGGCAGCACAGTACATAACCTGCATACAACAAACAAAAGTGGCAGAATTCATATTTTTAACCTCTTAAGCCCCAAGGGGTTTTCTTGAAGTTTTTTTCTCTCAAAATACCACGGTGAAATGTAAATGAGTGTATCTCAGCATTTACAAACTCAACCTAAATWATCTTGGTATCAAAATAAAGYRAACATTTGGGAGATTTCATCAGAAGTGTAAATATTAAAACAGCTGCTGTGCTTTTAGAGATATYGGGGATGGAACATATTTATTTTCAATCTCACCTGAATATTCGTTTTTCATTAGACAGTAYATAACCCAATTAAAACCATAATGAAGTAGGCTAACAACTCTTGGAAACCATAAATCCACTTGTGGACATTACCTGCWGCTAAAATTAATTGGAGCAAAGTTACAGAGGTTTTAGTAAAAAAAAGATTTTTGCATTTTGTCATTCTGCACAGGACAGACCATGATGGCACCATCAATAAATGTTAAGAAATCTTAAGTTTTTACATCCAAAAGTTATTTATTTTTTCTTACCTGCCTTAAAGACTTGTTATTAAATGCTTGTTCTTTTGAAAAATTATCCAAACATTTATTTGTCACCATATATATTACATAAAATAATGAGAAATGATATTTGTCTTCAGTTGGATCATATTCACTCAAAATCAAGGGGAAAAAAACGTTCAACACACTTTACAACATATTTAAGTATCTGCTTTGACTTGCTTTAAAACATAATGTCAAAAAGTTTTCCTTTAGAGATTTGCTTGAACGTATTTACAGATTTGCAATGACGCCATTTTGTACAGTTTGTTTACTTTCTGATTCAACTGCTTGACGTTTAAACTGTGTTTGGTGAATGTAAAAATAGTTTCCATGAGCTTTTAGCCAAGATTCTTAGGTYTCTTTTGATACCAAACAAGTCCAGGTTCAACTGACAGATCTGAAGTTAAAAGAAGTTAAAAGAAATGGAAAACAGAAAAAGCTGTTTTGCCCACCGGTACCAGGGGCTCAAGAGGTTTGCTCTGCTACTATTGTAAAGACAATTGTTTAATTCATTCTGGTTATCAATTCTACTAAWCCTACTGTCAACAAACTTCAAAATGAATGTAACGATCGCTTTCTGCACGTCTGGTTATGTCTAATTTTAGTATATTACTCACCGTAGTGCTCAATATCAGGTGCGTTCAGCCTGGCAAGAATCAGCTTCATCACTAAATCCTCAGGTATAATTCCACCCTCAGATAAGATGCTCAGGAGCTGAAAAGTGTGTACTACCATGAAGACTTCAAACACACAACAGAACAAAGTTTCTTTGAAATCATGCAGCACATTTCACTCACCTCCAGGCCTTCCTTAGTTCGGTTTTTCACATGCATGTTGAGCAGATCAGTATCTGTAAGCGTTTGACAGCAAAATGATTTAACTGATGCGCATAATTAACATAAAAAAACAAAAGTTTCCAAAAACTACTTACCATCAATTAAAACACATTTCCAAGAATCGCATATTTTTTTGGCCAAGGTAGATTTACCAACACCCTGACACAAAACATACATGAGGAATTAGTGCAAAACATAAGAAACAAGTAAAAAAAAAGTCATTCAACTAGATCTGTTACAAAAGGACAACTGATATTACCAACTTTTAAAAACTGTTACGGCCAGAGGTCTTTCTTCTATGTTTATACTAAAG